CATTGGAGGGCCTGTGGGCAGTGTGGGTACTGTGAGCAATGCACCCTGGGGGTGAGAACCATTCTCAGAAACATTGAACTCTGTACGTTTCCAATCAAGCATCATCATGTCCTCTCCCGTGTGCTCAGGAGGGTGGCAGCGTGCAGGGCCCTGTGAAACCACGGGCGTGCACAGCGGCGCGGGCTTACCCTGAGGAAGAGCGCGGTGGGGATGAAGGCACAGCGCGGGTGGAAGGCGCCGGTCCCGCAGGCGTACAGGTGGGTGTGGTTATAGGGGTGCAGCACTCTCAGGAAGTTGGCGCAGTCCAGCTGCCAGGGAGAAGGACAGAACCTCAGCACAGCGCCCCCTGCAGGGGTCAGGGCAGTCACACACGGGCTGATGGCTCAGCCTGACGTGTCCCGCGGAGAGGAGCCGCCCGCGCGCCCCTGCATGAAAACCGCGGCCTGCGCCAGGCCAAGCGGGCTGGACTGCAGGGAAGTGGCTTGCGAAGTGCACTACAGGAGCACCAAGGGGTGCCCAGCTCAGCTCCCTTGTGGAGTTTGTAACAAACGTTCAGGAGGGATGACAACAGCCCAGTTCAGTCCGGCTCGGCTGTCAGTAATTCCCAACCACTCCCGACGTCATTTCCTGTCCTAAATACTGGACATCTCTCCCTCAGATACTTCTTTTTGCACCCCTCCTGCACCCCATCTCCCCCCTGCAGCTGCCCCTGGATCACCCCTCGCTCTGCAAGGGGTCCCAGCCTCCTCGTCCTCTGGCCAGGAGGCTTCTCAAACACTCAATAAACACTCAATACACCTCTCAGCTCGCTTCCTTCCTGGCTGTTATTATTCCGAGCGAATTAAAATTCCTATCCTGCAGCCGTGGAAACGTGCACCTTCACGGCCTCTTGCTCCCTCCCAGCGAGCGCAGGATCAGACGCCCCCTGGGCGATGTGAACAGCCAGCTTGAGAAGAGAGAAGTGGTCTCTGAGGGCTCTCTCACCTCACGGTCCTTCCCGGCCATCTCGCACTCCTCGATCCGGTCAGGGCTGGCCGGCCAGTACAGCTGCGACACAGACACACGGGCGTCAGGTGGACAGACAGACAGCACAGACCTCCGTACAAACCAGAGCAGGCATTCTGGGTGACCGAGGAGGCAGACAGGCCGCGGAGCAGACGAGAGACCGGCAGACGGCTTACGATCAGCGTGCGGTCTCGCGCGAAATTGCAGGTGATGGTGTGGTTTCTGTTCGTGAGGAGTGAGGAGTTGTGCTCACACAGAGCCAGAGACTCCTGGCAGGTGCCTGCGTGGGCCGAGGAGACAGGCCCCATACTTCAGCGGCCCGTTAGAAGACACAGGAGCCTCCGGGCTCCAGTTCCTCCTGCGAACACTGCGCGGTGATGGGCTCTGCTCACACCTCTCCCGGTCCCTCTCCTCCCTGTCTGCGGGGCGGGACAGCCGGAGCTGGCTGTGGTCCGGCTGTGGCCCGACTGTGGGCTGGGTGACTTACCCAGGCTCCTCCCCCAGCGGCCCGGGACAGAGCCCTGAACCAGACTCCCAGTGAGAGGCTTCAGGAAAACATTCCTGGGTGTGGGGGGCACAGACTCCCTCTGAGGGATGGTATTCTGGGGATCCTCTCTTCCCTATTGTTGCTGTTCCCAGGTCTCCCAGCAGCCAGCAGGGAGCAGGGTGTTAAAATACCCCTTTCCCTGCGGCAGATCTCCAAGCCTGCTTGCATGGGGCTTGTTCAGGAGAGTGATTTTTAACTATTTTAAAACACCCACAGGTGCGCTACATTCACGGCGGTATCGCTGATGGGAGAAAGGACGCGAGAGGATTCAAGTGGAAAGTATGTGGAAGAGCCCTGAAGACGTCTTTACACAAAGGGTGGTAGGAGTGTGGAACAAACCGCGGGGCCATGTTATTGAAGCCCTGGCTTCTTTCAAGACACGGCAGGATGAGGTCTCTGCAGTAACTATCCTTGTGTTCTAAAGCTGACTCTCTCAATGTCTCTTCTGCGACATCATGGGGGCTGCAGGTCATGAGTCTGCTGAAGGGCAACGAGCTTCTTGTTCACCACTCGTTCTCCCCCTGCAGGGGGGCCCCTGCCCTTTGAGCTGGGCAGACATGTGGGGGTGCCAGAGGCGTGACAGTAGGTGAGAGAGCCTGGGACGGACACCTAGAGAGAGGATTACGGCCCCCCACACACTGGGGGGTAGGACTGGGGATACCCCACAGAGAGTGGGTCTCTGTGGCTCCTGGCTGCGGGTCCGTGGGGAGTCAGGGAGAGGGGGAGAGGGGCCAGGAGGCAGGGGGCTCCAGCCGGACCCCTCCTGAGCTACTGCAGCGGTCAGCTGTGGGCAGGGAGAGAGGAGCGGGGCAGACAGACGCACCCAGGGGCCGACAGACAGATCACAAAGGCAACACGGCGCAAGCAGGAAACTCTCTCTATCGCAGCTGGAGCGCCTCTGGAATGGCAGCCCTGATCCCTGGGGGCAGACGGGAGACAGCCCCGGCCGGCTGCTCCGGTTCCGGCAGTGCGACACTGCAGGGGCGGAGAGTGGCGCTGGGCTGCAGATGGCCCACTGGGCTCTGTAATTAAAGACAGCGGCAGTCTGGCGCAGCGGCGGAGCCCAGGAATAGCTGCAGCCCTGTGGCGGGCTGTGGAGGAGCCTGTCGCACGGACTTAACTCTGTCAGCCGCTGGGGTGGAGCTGCCTCCTGGCCCTCCGGGGGGCGCTACAGGGAAGCCAGAGGCAGAGCGATGGAGGGGGGCAGAGGGGCCGGCTGGGCCCTCCCTGGAGCGGTGCAGGCCAGCGATTACCCCGCTAACGAGCAGCCATTTGGGCCCAATTTGAGCTCCCCGACGTGGGCGGGAGAGGTTATCTGGAATCTGCCCCTTCCCCGCGGGCCCCTCCTCCCTCACACCGCGGGCCGAGGAGTCGTCCACCAGGCAGAGGGGCAGCTGTCCGCCAGCAGACAAGAGCTTCTAGAAACACCTCTGCCTGCCCCCCGGGACCACCGCTGTGCTCATGTCATGCCACAGCTCACGCACCCACCTGACGAGACGACAGATTGCAGCCAGATGGGCTCACAGTGCTCCTTCGTTCCTGCTGCCTGCCCCCCGAATCTGCTGCGAGCCCGTCAGCAGGACAGGGTGTGCTAACGGCACACACTCACACTCACACTCACACTCGCACACTCACACTCGCACACTCACACACACACTCGCACACTCACACTCACACTCACACTCACACTCACACTCACACACACACTCACACACACACTCACACTCACACACTCACACTCACACTCACACACTCACACTCTCACACTCGCACACTCGCACACTCACACTCACACACTCGCACACTCACACACACACTCACACTCACACACACACTCGCACTCGCACACGCACACTCACTCGCACACACTCACACACTCACACTCACACACTCACACACTCGCACTCGCACACGCACACGCACGCTCACACTCCCACACTCACTCACACTCACACACACACACACACTCACACTCACACTCACACTCACACTCACACTCACACTCACACTCACACTCACACTCACACTCACACTCACACTCGCACACTCGCACACTCGCACACTCGCACACTCACACACTCACACACACTCACACTCACACTCACACTCACACTCACACTCACACTCACACACACACTCACACTCACACTCACACTCACACTCACACACTCACACTCACACACTCGCACTCGCACACGCACACTCACACACGCACACTCACACTCACACACGAGCCCCCCCAGCTGGGCGCGGCCCCGCCGCCCCTCCCTCACCTTGCGGACCCCGTGGGTGATGTTGTCCAGGCTGGTGGTGACCAGGTGGTCCTTGATGGCGGCGTAGAGGCGGCGCCCGTCCTCGTCCAGCAGGATGGAGTGCAGGTCGCCCACGCGCAGGGGCAGGGACAGCACCCTGCCATTCCTCACCAGCTCTGCAGGGGGCAGCGAGACAGGCGCCCATCAGGACAGCACGGTTGACAAGGAGCTGACACAGCGGAGAACACAAGGCACACGAACAGTACACGGATAAGGAACACCGACCACGTACGGGCAATACTGCAAGTGGCCAGCGTGGGGCGGTAGACCAAAGCACCTACAGGTGCAGGATGGAGAGAATATCAACGGTCACTTTTTTCTTTGACAGAACCCCCCCCCGCGCACGCACACACGCACACACACACCAGAAAAAAGTGAAGATCACCGTCTCCCTCAAAATAAGAAATTCCCTTGTCAGCTTCTTTTCCGGCTGACTCACAGAAGCCACAGGCTGTCCCTTCTAATCCGACCGGAAAACCGCGGTGTCCAGCTCCAGCTGCCTCGCGGGCGTGTCTGTCTCCGGGCTGCAGAGGCTGGGACACAGGCCGCCCAGCCAGCCCCACCAAATGCCACCAAAATAGTCCCTTTCTCCAGCTCCCTGGCTGCAGCAGCAGTGATCCGGGTCTGGCATAGAAGCTCACACACAAGGCCAGTACTGAAACCACCAGCGGGGGCAGCGGTCTGGGCTCTGGACTTGTAAGCAGAAGGGTGGGGGTTCAAACCTACTGTTCCTCCAGGAAAATACCCAAATGTATGAATGGATACAAA